TCTAATTTGTACCCCCGGTAGGAGAGATATGAAGTATTAGCCGGAGAGGACACCTGAGTCTTGGTTAAAAAGAACAAGGCTGGCTTCGCCGTCTGTAGATAGTAATGGACAACGTTAAGGTTGGAATGAAGTCCCCTGATGTTGCAAAAATTCAGGGATAGCGTGACAGAGGTTGCCTTGGTCTTATTGCTTGGCTTGCCCAGAGCAGTATTAGTCGCGAGCGGAATTTTGGTATTCCGTGAGGTTGTGATACTACCCCGGTTCGAGCCGGCCCATCCGTGCGACAGCAAAAGCTGCCGCGTAGCTCTATTGTTGTTAAAATGATAATGGCGTCCCTTTTTTTGTGCTGAAGATGTCTACTCTAGAGTTCGCACCGGTTTTAATGCATCTTTTTCGGTTCTCCTACTGCCTAGGCGTAGCTCCGAAATCATGGAAGACAGCTTTTGTGCACCCGATCCCTAAACAAGATAATCGCTCTGATCCGTCCAACTATATGCCTATCGCCATCCACTCCTTTTTCTCCAACATAATGGAGTCCATTATTAATAGCCAGCTCTTGTGGCACCTTGAGAATCACCAGCTGATTAGTGACCGTCAGTACGGTTTCCGTTGCGATCGCGCGGCTGGTGATCTTCTGGTCTACCTGACTCATAGATGGGCGGAGGCAGTAGAGTCCAAGGGCGAGGCATTGGTCGTTAGTTTGGACATTGCGAAGGCCTTCGATCGGGTTTGGCACAAAGCGCTTCTTTCGAAGCTCCCTTCCTATGGGTTTCCCGAGAAATTGTGCAACTGGATCATCAACTTTCTTGCAGATCGGGACATCAGGGTCGTAGTAGATGGCGCATGCTTCGATTACAAGCCTATTAATGCCAGTGCTCCACAAGGCTGCGTGCTATCACCAACGCTGTATTTTCTGCATATCAATTATATGTTGCGAAGCGGTAATATTCATTGTTATGCGGATGACAGCACTAGTGATGCTTTATACACCGGCCGTGCTAATATTTCTCAGGAAAACGTCGCCGAGTACCGGAACAAACTTGAGTCTGAAGTCGAGTCTTTGCTGGACAAAGTCTCTAATTGGATGCGACTAAATGTAGTCCAGTTTAATCCTCAAAAGACAAAAGTTTGCGCGTTTACTGCTAAAAAGAATCCTTTTGTCGTTTCTCCTTAGTTTCATGACACTCCCCTTGTTGCATCAGCCAGTATCGGAATCCTCAGCGTCGACATATTGGGTGACGTGCAATTTCGTGGTCACTTGGAAGGGAAGGTCAAATTGGCCTCTAAAAAGCTTGGCGTGGTCAGCAGAGCGGGACAGTATTTCATGCCGGCACACCGCCTGCAACTTTACAAGGGGCGGGTTCGGCCTCACATGGAATACTGTTCACATCTCTGGACTTGGGTTCCCCAGTTTCAGCTCCTTCCACTTATCCGCATCCAGAGCAGAACGGCTCGAATCGTCGACGACCGAGTTCTTACCGATCGGCTCAATTCACTGGCGCTGTGAAGAGACGCTCCATCCTCTCCGTCATCTAGCCCAGGCCACTTACACACAGATTCATACAAAGAACACATACATTCACTACACTTCCATCAGTCGGGCAGATCCTGGTGAACCGTTTCCGCTCCAGAAGCAGGTAAGTGCTTTTTACTGGCTTTACCCCTTATTGTTTATTGTAATTAGAGACCTTCCACTTTGGCCTTAGAAGGCCCGACCTGCACCTGCCTGTAGGTTTTTCCTTAATGGGCCGGGAGGATCCTACTATTAGATAGGCAGCTGCACGCCGTAACATTCTGGTAGCAGTAGCATGGCTGATTGACTTTCAATCACGCCACGGCCACATTAATAATACGTAATAATAAAATTTTTTCCTCGCTGCTTTTGTTTATAAGTGGGTAGATTGGGAATGCCACGCCCGTAGGTTAACAAGCGGGAATTTTGTTGAGGCTAAGTACTTGATTAGGTAGATAAGGTTGTCACGTAATCGGATAATTTGTTGATCGTACTAGGATGTTACTTGTTAATTTGATTTGTGTTTTTCGTGTTAACTTGTATTTATTTTAATAATAGTGTAATTTCCATTTAACTTGATTGATAGGAACTGTATTTGTTATTTGCTAATTGATTTATATTTGAGCCACGTAGTAATTGTATTTAGTAGGGATGCCGTCACACAAGCTACTAATTCGTTGTTTGCGGACTGAGCTGCGCTGGGCCACCAGCGCACACGCCTTGATAGGTCGATCGGATAGGGTTTATAACATGAGGAAGAGGCTCGAGCAGGTCGATGCTCGAAGGGCTGCCGTGGAGGATGCTTACGCTGAGCTCGAGGACTCGGAGGTGGAAAAGGGAGTCCTGGACTCCTGCCGCGCGGACTACGAGCAGTTCCTCGCGCTCACGGACGACTTGATCGAGGCGGGGGCCAAGGACGCGGAGAAGGAGCGCGAAACTCGGCTGAGTGGCCTGCTCGAGTCCCCTCGGAAGCCGCCCACACTGCCGGAGCTGTTAGGACGACTCCCCACGCTGGACCTGCTAAGGTTCTCCGGGGTCCTCTCGGAATGGCTTACCTTCGTCAGTATGTTTGACAGCCTGGTGGACGCCCGGAGGGACTTGACCCCCTGCCAAAAAATGGGGTACCTCCTGGCATCACTGGAGGGGGAGGCTCTGGGCGTCATCGGCCACCTTAAGTTGTCTGAACGACGCCTACCAAAACGCCAGGGACCTCCTCGCTGGAAGGTACTCCAACGTCCGACGTAGCGTGCAACTCGTTGCGGGGGATAGATTTACCGGTGGACGAGTGGTCTTTTTTGTTACTCCATATCGTGCTGTTGCGCCTGCCCCTCGACCTTCGGCTCCATTTTGAGGAGAGGTACGGAGGGGATGGCGCCTCGTACATTTCCCCCTTTAGGGACCTGCTGCGGTTCCTGAAGGAGCAGTGTAGGCAGCTAGAGAACGCAGGAGGCGCCGTCGAGGGCCCCCCGGCCGCCGCCCGCGCGGTGCCCAGGGAGAGGCGGAATCAGACTGCCAAGGCGTCGCCCACCCCCCTGAGGCCGAGCGGAGCCCCCGCGGGAGGGTGCCCGCGGGAGGGTGCCCCCCTACCCTCCTATAGTGGCCTAGCGGCCCGGGAGGCGCCTCCCTGCTCCTATTGTCGAGCATCTGACCACCGGGCGACGTCGTGCGCTAAGTTGTTGCGCAAGCCGGCTCCGGCGAGGCGGACTATCGCCAGGGAGCGCCGTTGGTGCTACTCGTGCCTGGAGAGGCATTTACAACGAGACTGCCCGTACCAGCGGCCCTGCACGCACTGCCAGGGCAACCACCACATCGTGATCGACGCGGCGCCTGCACTCTCCATGCCCTAGTGATGGAGGCCGATATTTAAAGAGAAAGGAAACCCGAGGACGGTCTCCTGTCAGGAGACGCCGTGTAGTAGAATATAGAAGCCTCGCTTACCTTGCAAGCCCTAATAGTATAAAAACAGAGCGCGCGACGCGATCGCCCTTCTTTTGCTTGAGGCCGTTATACATGTAAGATTGTTCCTACGAGAGCATTAGTCTTGTTAATTTTCTTTTTGCGTGTGAAAAAAATTGTGTTATCAATCTTTCCTCTTTATTTAAAAAATAACCTCGAATACGTTTTACATAAGAGTACATTAATAAATAAATACCAGGGTAATATACACGTTTTAATTTTATAACTGTATTGAACGAACACACATATTAATATATAGGTATATATATATATATATGAAACTGTCTATGCAGATCAGAGGTATTAATTGTTATTACATGAGGATCTAGATCAACTCGCTGGATGGTGTAAAGAGAACAGGTTATATTTAAATACTGAAATATGTAAATTTATTACATTTTCGAGATGTAAAACGAACTTGTCGCTGTCCTACAATATTACCGGTTAAAAATTGCAAGAGGTGGACTCTATTCGCGATTTAGGCGTCATTATGGATACAAAACTACGCTTTCACAAGCACATAGACCAAGTTGCAACAATAGGTTTCCAGATGCTAGGGTTTATGCTGCGGAATACAAAGGAATTCGAAAAGCCCTCAACAAAAGTTGGTTGTCCTTTTAAATAAATAAAAAAAAAAATTGATTTTAATTTGAGAGATTAGTAAGCTTACAGCTTATAATAATATAATAATACTGTGTAGATGAATAATAATAACTTGAGTTATGTCGGACTCGCATCGACTAAAACCCCATGGTGTTCCATCTTACCGCATATTAGCAGGGCCACAAAAACGCTTTCGCACACAGCCGCGACCTCACCGGCACCGGCCCCCCACGGCGGCCTCTGCTCGGGAGAGGATCATTCCTCGCCATCTCCTTCTCAGGTAAGGCGCACCAGAACTCATGGCGCCTTCGTGTCCAATGCGCAATGGCCATGGGGCCAGGAAAATCTTTTACTGGCGATGGAGCCTAAAGACCACATAGTAAACGCGTTCATAGAGTAACGCAAAGTTAGCTGCTGGCCTGCGCTGTATTTTATACAACTGTAACGAATGGGAATTTACAGTTCCTCCCTGGCTTTTTTGTAGTTTTCTTTTATTTTCTTTCTCTTATTTCCAAAAGTAGGTTATTAATCAAATATATTTCACAAATGTTTAATTGCTTTTTAAAATAATCGAGTTAAACATTGAAATATATCTTCCGTAGGTGTTGTTAAAATTTGTAGGTTTTTCCTTCTTTTGTCATTATTGCAGGAATAGGATGCGATGCATTTATTTACAGAGACTTAATGCACGTAGTATAAAATGCAAAATTTCTTTAAATGATATTGATATAAAGGCAGGAAATTAATGAAATTTTGTCTCCTTGGAAATCATAACTTACTGATATCAAAAGGTTCAATGTAAAGGATAGGAATAAGAAGAAATATATATATAAAATTTTAAACTCATTTATTTCAACATTCAATGATAGGCTAGTCCATCGGTTGGAATGGTGGTCATCCGAAGAAAGCGAAAGCGTAGGACTTGCTGTTAGCCTCCGAGTATAGCTAGAAAAGTAAAGATTATTATTGATCAGATAATCTGGCTTCGAGAATAATACAACTTAAATCTAGAGCATTGATTTTAAATTAGTGTTTGGAATTGTAACTTATTCATAAATAGGAGTCATTGCCATTAAGTATAATAAAATGCCATAAAATACAAAAAAAACTTCAATGGTTTTTTGTATTTTTTTCAAGTGGCAGAGCAGCTTTAAAGCGTACTATGTTTGCGGCCTAAATTAGTGAGTTCAACCGAGATAAGACCACATTTGCCAAGAATACCAACGTGACAAATTAATATTATCAAAACATATTTTACTGGTAAAGACGCATTTTACCTTAGTCCTCAGGGATGACAATATTCCCAATCGAGGATAGATGTAGGTGTTTATAGACCACAGCATCTACTTTCCATCAGGTAGACTGTGTACGCGTTTGTTAGTTCATCGATCTAACTTTTAGATAAAAAATAATGCTGCCGTGTTTTGTACGGCGAGTGACAGGGAAAGAATGCCCCTTTATACCATACAATACTTTTAGTTATACAATATAATTATTTCAATCATCAAGAACTTAATATGGTATTTTATACCATTGGCCTCGACGGCCTTCGACGGCTCAGTGGCGCAGTGGCTAAGCAATAAGTTGCTGCGCTGAGGGCCGCGGGTACGAATCCCGCACGGCACAAGTATTTGTATGGCCTACAATCAATTGTTCCAGGTCTGGATGTTTGTTCTTGTGCGATTTGTGTCTGTAAACTGCTTCCACGATACAGGAGAAAATCTTAGTGTGGGTGTAACGTTTTTTTAAAAAAAAAATACCTTAACCTAAATGTATATACACACACGTCAACAGAATCTAGGGATACTTTAATCCTAAATCATTTACGACTTTATAGTTTAAAATCATTTTAGGTTCCAGTTTCTATACAGATTGAAACCTCTTTTATATATATATATATATATATATATATATATATATATATATATATAATGCCAGATACATGGTGACACTAGTTAGCACTAGCGCCTTCTAGTATCGAGTAGCAGAACTAGGAGAGCCAAGATCCTTCTAGAAATTTCCTGGAAGAACTTTTTAGAACTATCAACACCTAGTCATTAAGGAACGGTATGTACTAGAACATTCTAGAAGTTTCTGAAGTAGAAGGTTCTGAAATAATATAATAGTATAATAATCTAGATGTTTCTGAAATAGACCGCGTCCAGGGTCAGTGTTGAACTGGCGATACAAGCGAATACTTCGAAGTGATACAACTGCGAACTAAAGAGATTTATGCGTGGTAGAGCCATGCTGCAGCTATATTAATAATATAGTTGTAGCACGAACGGGTCGGCTCGACCGGGGAAGCACCACGCTCTCACAGAATACCAGAGTAAAATAGCAGTTTCATGCTGTTGTGTTTCGTATGGTGAGTGTAGAGAACCGGAGACCCTCTTTACTGGAAAAGAAGCTTTCTATCTTAGTCCTCACGACTAACACGCATCTGCATTTTAATTTGCAAACGAGTATAGACGTAGATGTTTATGGGCCACAGAAACCACTTATTCTATGAAAAAAAAAATTTGTAGCACAATTGTGTTTTGTTATAAGGGTGGTTTTAATTTGTAATTAGTGTTCTGTAATTAAATTGTCAATTTTGGTAATTCACTCGGTAGTTTTTAATTGTCTCGAACCCCAAGCTCGTAACAATATTATACTCGTATATATAACATAAAACATAAACATAACACTATTTAGGGGACTTTCTGCTTAGGCGCGTCCCTGTATCGGTGATAAACTACCCAAGAGGGCCAGTAAATCAGGAGCGGGGAATGTCTCTTTGTGTTTTGCAGGAACCTGGAGTACATAGGATTTGAAGTTAGTTGACCTATTAGACTCCAGACTCTGCAAATGTAAAGATATCGAATCCTATATGCGGCATCGGTATCGTTCTTCCACGAAACGCAGGATGTCTTCTCCAGATGTACTTTTGTCCAAACAGGAAATGTGGAGCTGTATGGTATGCATACAACTCACAACACACAGAGTTGTGTTAAATGTTATACTGGTGATGAGAGACATTTATCTTAGTCCTCGGGGTGACAACATATTTTCAGTTTTATTCTTAATCGAGGCTAGAATCTATCCAATAATTAATAAATATTGACCATAGACATATCCGATAGTGTCTATGATCCATTTTAATTTTTCGTATTTCGTTTTGTATGAAATCCTCACCAAAGAAAATTGAGCCAGTGTCTGTATCTTTAAATGACTACAATGAAAAATTCAGTTCATGATACAATATTTCTCTGCATCGTTTGGCAACTGTGATGGCGGCGTAAGACATCCAATCATCCCATAGAAAAAAAAATGAATAAAAGAAGAGAAAGTACACTAAGATAATAATTAAGTTACACTTTAATAATTAAAAATAACGTTGAGGAAAGGAATTGTGCAGACGCTGACATTTAAAAAAACTTCATTTCAAGTGTAATACTAAAAGGCGCACAAGATTTATTTTATATTTTCAGAAAACTTGTTGTATCACGTTTACTTTATTTTCTTTCTTTCTTCCTAAATCAATAGTGTATAAAATAGCCAGTTGACAATTGTATTTTAGTTAAATGCAAATTACATTTATAATTTACGCAGATTAGATAAAAGTAATTTGTTGATTTTTTCTGTCAAGAAAAGCCTGTGTTTGGTGTGTTTCACCCCCGTGCCTTGGAAAACGCGTAAAATCTTTGATTCTGTGCATGATCTCTCTTAGGATATGTCGATTTACTGCCGTTATCGAGTGTATCTAAGCTTACGCATACATTGGGAGACTATAATCCTAGCAGATGCGCAGATGGCTAGTATCCTTTGAAGTTTGGTTTGCTTTGATGAATGGAAGATGTTTAACCTACGACGAGGCTATCTGCCGTGACCGAAATTCGGTCTGGAGGACACTATTATTGTTGCTGTTGATGCAACACAAATTTATATGTATATTGTACTAAAAAAACCTTGTACCTGTCTCGCTGGCGTTAGCGAATAGTTCCACCAGTTGTGCAAACGCGTTGAGCTTGTCCACGGAGTGTTCGATATGTGCTAACGCGAGGGCTCCCAGGAGCGATGTACCGTTAAAGGCGTCCCTATTAACAAAATAAAATATTAGTTTTAGTTATTCTATTGCAAGCTACAAGGTACCGTGTAGTGATGGTCTTAGAATATTCCCAACCTATATCAGTCCCCTGGGTATCGTAAGAGGCGACAGAGGGAAACCTTACTCTCCCTGAGCGTAGATGCTCAGATTACTCCACAAGTTCTGGGGCAAAATTCCGTACGTGACTAAAACTGCTCGGAGCAAGTGGAGCAATAAGACCAAGACGACCCCTGTCACGCTATCCGTGAATTTTTGCAACATCAGGGTACTTCATTAAACTTTAACGCCGTCTACTACCATCTGGAGACGGCAAAGCCGCCAGCCTTGCACTTTTAAACCGGTACACAGGTATTCTCTCCATCTAATACTTCATATTTCTCCTACCCGGGGTACAAACTAAAACACTCTTTTGTGCTTTGGTCTAAAATTTGCGTAAACATCAGAAAGAACATCTGTTTTCGACACATCGGCAGCCATGAAGGTACGAACTTGTTCATACTATGGCTGCGCGTAGACAGCGACGACCATCACCGCGTCTACGGGTGACACTGTTACTCCCATAGCGGTAATTCTGACACAGACTGATTCAATGAACATGTCCAAATGGTTGAAGACTCCGTGCTACTACAGATCCCATCTGCAGATATCGTGATCCTTGGTGATTTTAACGCCCACCACGCTGAATGGTTTGGGTCCCGTTTTATCGATCATGCGAGTAGATCTGTTTATGACTTTACTTTGGCATATGGTCTGACACAACTGCTTTCTTTGCCTACGCGGATGACAAATGTGCAGGATTATGCACCTGCCATGTTGAAGCTTCTGATTATCTATCATCCGTACGGATATCAGGTGTCCATCGATGCCCCTCTTGGCTCTTCGGACCATAGTCTGATCCGGAGTACGGTGCCACTCACACTCCCATGACGTTTGCGTTTTGCAGGTTTCCGTCGTGTTTGGCACTATAGGTTCGCCGATTGGGACAGGATGCGGTCTTTTTTTTGCATCTTACTCTTGGGGGCAAGCTTCCTTCTCGTCTGACGATGCCTACGTTGTTGATGATTCTGTCTGTTGTGGTAATGGTACAGATGATGGAACAAAAGTTTCATTATTTGAGAATGTGACTTTTTATTTTATCATCTATGGTGCCTATCGGAGGCAAAACTCAGCCTTGGTTTGGTCGCTCTTTTATAATCATCACGACACGATATCACCACGACAATTTTGCATCACGCCATAAGCAGGAGTACTACTGGGCCTGGGTTGATGCATCAACGTTTTGGAATGCAAACACCAGCGCTCTTAAAAAGAAGTATAATTCTGCCTCCAAGTATTCAAAAGTGTCATCGCCAAGGCAAAGTCAGATCACATCGGCAGAACTGACGAGAAACTATTTCGACTCCTTCGGGATTACGTGCATTCTGGTCTATGGCCAAGGGAACTTCTGTCACCCATCTCTACTATCTCTGCATAGAGAGGATGACTCACTGGTCAATGCTGCAAAGAAAAGGTTCGAATCGTCGACGACCGAGCTCTTCTGGTCAGCTTGACTCACTGGCGCTGTGAAGAGATGTTGCATCTCTTTGCGTATTTTGTCGTATTTAGCAAGGGGAGTGCTCAGAGGAATTATTCGAACTAATTCCAGTCGCTCAATTTTACCATTGCACATTGCCAAAAAACTGAATATACCATACCATCTGAATGATCAGCGGTCCACCACTTTGCGATTTACAAGAAGTTTTTTTTGTGAAATTCCCTTTGTGTTGCAGCTGTTGGTCCTACGTTGGACTACATCTATCCTGGCGTGCGAAATGCAGATGCTTTATCAGCCGTGAGGAAAAAGATAGAATGCCTCTTTTCCAGTAAAAAGGGTCTCCGGTTCTCTATACTCACCATACGAAACTCAGCAGCATTAAGCTGTTATTTTACGCTGGAATTCTGTGAGAGCGTGATCCTACCCTGGTCGAGCCAACCCATTTGTGCTACAACCATAATATAGCTGTGGAGTGGTTATACCACGTAAGTGTAAACGGCGATCGACTGTGTACCCATACTGTCAAATTACAAACGCTTTGCCCCAAGGGTAACAAGGCTCTTGTAAGGATCTTGGATTTATTACGTGGTTGGCGTTAAAAGAAATAATCGTGATAAAATCTGCACGTTTGAGAAATAATAAAAATTTCGTAGCCATGTGGAGTTTGCCAACATGTATTGAGGCAGCGCGTCGGACACTTGAATGACTGAATGAAATATACATTTATAAACCAATCGACAAGATAAAAAAATAACAAATTATTTATAAAGATAGGATATAATGACTTGTAAGAATGGGTAAGGATGCAAGTAAATAATCATATTTAAAAGAGACCTATGATCTTCAACTTAGAATTCTTAAAAATATTGTATCCCCAAATATACGTGTCCTAATTGATGATGGTGAAAATGATATTTTTAAACATTGTAAAGTCTTACCAGTTTATGACCAAATTAAATTCATGTTATTAAAGCAATATTTCTTTTGCGATAATTCAAAGTCATACATAGATCAACCTGTACGTTCGCGCGCTATGACTCAAAACCGGCTCCGGTACATCACTGCTAATTATGTGTACGGGCAGCGGACGGCCGCTTATCAGGTAACGCATTTATTAAATAACTTACCTTTCGATTTACGCGAAAAAATATCACAAAAATATTTAAATTAAACTCAAAAGCTTTTTTATATCTAAATTATAATTACCTACTATATCTACTTACTATTGTTAATAACATACCTACCTGCATAGTTCTTACTTTTACCTTGCTACTACTGATTTTAACTAAGTTTTTAACTTACCTTCTTAGTCTTTATATTTTTACTATACCTACTACCTACTCACATACCTAATTACTTACTTAGACTGTGTCTTGCACATAATATGCTGACTTAAACTTAATTATTTAGCATCAAGTCAAACCTCCGTGGTTTTTAGATGTTAATTTGACGTATATTTGTATTCTTTACTTTTGATCTGATAAATAAATAAAAAAAAAGTTTTTAGAAAATATACACAACATCTAAGCTTACATGCATATAATTTATAGTCAATAAATACACCGTTACTTTACCGTATAAATTAATTAATTTCAGTTTGGAAGTATAGAAATACACAACATGTACAAAAGCATAAAGGAGTAAACAAGTAAGTGAAATAAATGAAACTTCTTTGCCATAAAAGCCTCTCAGAAATAAAAGAGGAGGTGTGTGGGTGTTTAATAATGGCTGTAAATTTTACAACAAATATTTGAATATAGAAATTACTATAATAAACTTATATATATATATATATATATATATATATATATATATATATATATATATATATATATATATATATATATATATATATATATAATTGTTTTAATAATTTCTCTAATTCTAATCTGAATACTTACGTGGGATTTAAGGCATCGAGCAAACCAAAAATTGGGTTTGCGTTGCCACTGCTAGCACTCTGAAACAGGTAAATAATCAGTGTTCGAATTAGAAAATATTTCTTTTGTAGTCCAGGCTGGTGCGACTAAAAATTAATAAATTAATAAATTAAAAAAAAATTAAAAACAAACGTAAAAAAATTTAAACGTGAGCTAATTTTATGTCTTACGTAGTACGTCTATCAATGATAAAACGTAGTGATTATTTATTATATAATATACTCTTTGTTGTGTTCTTAGTAGTACATAAGCTTGCTTACGTACACTCTAAGATTGTATAAATATAAATAGTTAATATACTGTTATTCTTTTGTTGATTGCTATATAGTTAAGGCCCGGTTTTTAACCCTCAGATGAAATATTTTTCATAGTATAAAATGCAACATAAGCAAATTAAAAATTACACTTGCATGAATATATGAAACAGAAACAGGAACTGAAACATTTTTATTCGATGTAGAATAATTCTTATTGAAAGTGACTCTTATGTTTAACTACCACTGGTTCTGAAAAAAAAAACCTCTGTCCTGGGAAGGACCAGCAAGAAACCCAAGTGCACTTTAAAAAAAAATAACAGCTTACAATCATTTATGTCACATAACTAACGCCACAAAACAAATTAGATATAGCTTGGTAGCAATCACCTCATTCCCAGGGGTTATAAATTCCTTAATATTACAATAACCCTTTTTATACAAACTTAGTTTAATAAAGTTTTTGAAGCTTGAGAAGGTCAAATTTTGTATGTTTTCTAGGATTGTTAGTAACTATGGGATTGTTAATATGGCCCAATTGTTTCACTTTTATATTCTGTGGATTATAACCTATTCCGTGGATAAATTTTATCTGATGATTGATATTATAAGCGTTAGATCACAATTTAAAATACATATTTTCAAAATAAAACCATTTACTCATATACACAACACAAAAAAAAAATATTTCGTATGCTCCGCAAATGATAATAGTTATTAAATTTTATACCTAATATGTACTATACAATATAGAATAAATAATAAATATATACAATAGAAAGATTATGCCGGACTCCTACCGGATAAAACCCCACGGTGGTCTCCATCAGCGTGTACGAGGGGTCCCGGGATCTCAGTTCGGAATGCAACCGGGGCCGCTCTCTCGCTTTGCTTTATTGGAAACACGTCCCGGGGGCAGTACTTACTACCCCCAGCACCTCCGCAGTGCTATCACGATGACTCAGGATCATTTACGAGCCAAAGCGCTCCTAGTTGAGTCGAGTGCGCCATATCGCCAAAGCGTTCTGTCGTTCCTGCCGTTTTATAGATTTGAGCGCCTCATATGGCTCACTGCCACCTCTCTGACGGAGGATGCAGGTTCGATTGTACATCTTCCATATCCACCAGTATATCTAGGGATGGAAAGCGAGCCAGAACTGTTGCCGCCTCAAAAGATATCGTGCGGTATCCTTGCACGATCCATGTAGAAATCCTCCACTGGAAACTGTAGATTTTAGATCTACAGCGTCGAATGGCTAGCGTTTTTGCCCACACAGGTGCTCCGTATAAGGCTAGGGACCGAACTAACCCCGCATAAAGGCGGCGTATTTCCTTCCTTGGTCCTCCTAGATTGGGCAGCAGTCACCCACCACCCTCTCAATCAATGGGACTAGGTGCTCAAAGTGCTCTTCGAAGCCGCAGCTCCTGTCCAGGTTGAGCCCTAGTTACTTCTCTAGGTACTCCGACTCATCCACGTAGATCACGAGTTGGGTGGTTCCCTGCTCTGAGGTAGTTTATGAAACCATAAGGCCTCGGTCTTATGAGGCGCTATTTCTAGACCCAACTCGTGTATTTTGGCGACCAAGCTCAGCGAGCTTCTTGGTCCCCTCAAAGGTGACCCCGCTGGCGACAACCAGTGTGTCGTTGGCATAGCATACGATATTTACACCAGCAGGAAGCTCAACACGCAGAACCCACGTTTGATCTCCTTCCGGATCTTCCTACCATCTTGCCCCATGTACAGAATGTCCCTGTCGCGCAAGTAGTCCCCGTTTACGCCTTGCAGGTAGACAAGCACCACAGTGGTGTGCTCATGCCCTCCTTGTTGTATCCCAGGGTAGAGAGTTAAAGGCGCTGACGATATCAAGACTTATACCAGTGAGGACGCGCATAATGGCATCTACAGAGAAACGCTCCCGTCGGAATCCAAAATGGCTATCAGCCAAATCGGGACCGACGCGCGACGGATATCTGTTGAGCCGAGTGGCTACTATCCTTTCGAACTATTTGCCAATCTCGTCCAACAGGCATATGGGACGGTATGCAGAGGAAGAATCGGCGGCCCTGCCTGCCTTCTTCAATAGGACCAACCTTGCTTCTTTCCATGCTGTGGGGAACATCTAGGAGTTCTGATCTAAACTGACTTAGTTACAGGACACTAAGAAATTCCTTTGTAATTAATTGAATCAGGCGTTACTTTACGGAAATCCATTATATTAAAGTTGGTAAAAATTATTTAAGGTAATTTTTAATAAATTTAATAAAATGGCTTTGTTCTTACTGGCGATTCGCCAACACGTTTGTTTCGCTCGCTCCTCTCGTATTTTGTGGTCACTCGCTCACTCACTCTCACTTGATTTGCTCTTCGTCACACCTATACGGGGTGGCGATAAAGTTATCACATTAAATGAACATACTTATCCTACACAACGTTCTTTGAACATACACAACTAAAAAAATATATAACAATTAACATTCTAGTCGCAATAGCCCTTTTTTTCGTTTTTTGCCTAATTACTTATGAACGGGAAAGTGTAGGTAAATAATTACCTATGTCGATGCCGCGTGAGCACAGCATACCTGCCGCGCCGTTGCCGCTTTTACATGTCACTTCTGGTCAGTAAACTAATATTATCAAGGTGATTTATTTCGTGTCAATTTTACGCTATTTATTTTGTTTGAAAGATGCATTTTTTATTTTTGGTAGAATTGTTTATTTTATTATTTTAATCGACATATATGAACTTGTACATACCGCTGTATTATTTAATGTGATAACCTAATCGCCACCCAGTATAAATACGACTTTGCCCTAGACTAGATTTGTTCTATTCTATCTATTTATATTTAAGGAAATAATATTATTCGATCAATATCTCTTTAGATGTTTTTTCAGTATTTTAAAATATTATTTCAGTTATTCGATACATTAAATGTTTTTATAAATTATAAATTTTATATTAAACTAGTTGGTACCCGGCGCGTGGCAGCTGCAGAAGAAATAATTGTAGAAATATTCTTTTAAATTTTGAAAAGTTATATTTTTTAATTAAGAATGATAATACATTAATTGAGTGATAATTAACTTTCAAATAAATTTTCCGGTGGTACTCATATACGCGCGCCACCTACTGGAAGTTAATTGTACTATGGCTATAATCTTTGCGCAAATGCAAGCAATAAATTGACAAAGTTTAAACGCACTCTGATGAACGGTATAGCTGTGCATAAAATACGAACAAACACACATTAAATTTTATATATTAGAATTTGTCTAATATATAAAAAAAATTGTGTCGAAGATCAAATTAAATTTTAGTAAGCATTATAAAATGAAAATATGCAAAACATATTTCGAACAAAACATTCTCAGCCATATTTAGAATTATTGTATCGAGGAGACGTTTTATAAATTGCACATGGCTAAATATGCAGACTATACATTGACAGTGCAATGGCATTCTAAGAATATTTACTAACTCATCACTTTTCCCTGGGTGTTGTATAAAGCAAGAGAGGAAAATAAACCAAGAGTTGAGCAGAACTAGAATATAAAAAATTAGGTTTCCAACCCGCACGCCAAGCATAAAAACAATGGTAAACATCCCTCATGAACAAATAAAGGATAAAAAGCAACGGCCCCAGTCTACGGTGGCCCCGCTATTCCTGCCTACTACTGTAGCTACCATGATAATGACGGGGTAGAGGATGCTAGAAGCTGCAAATACAAATCAACCTTGCCAGGTTGATTTGTATTTGCAGCTACTAGCAGTACGTTAAATGTTGCCACATTTAACGTACGTAACATGAGGACTGATGAGAAAACCCTGGAGCTGGAAGAAGAAATAAGCAAGTTGCACAGGGATATTATATGATTAGCTAAAAATCAAAGAGAGAGAGAGAGAGATTCGGGTAATCCTTGAATCTAGCAAATTGTTCTAATAACGGGAGGGCAACTATCTGTCTCAAGAATGTTTCCAATTTATCGTCCACAAGTCTCTCTCCTTAATAACATTATAAAGAATGGGAGTGTGACGACAAGGTTTGCGTACATTTTACTCAGAATCGCCAAACGTTGTTCATTGAATTATTGTACAGGCTTACGCGGCCAATATCGGCACATCCCGATGAGAATGATGCGGCGACATATAAAGATATTTCTATAGCCATATTCTCGTATACTTCAAAACATACTTTGTTGATGGGAGACTTCAACGCAAAACTGGACACCAGAAAGGATGGTGAAGAAATCCGCTAAAATCACTTACACGCGGTAGAGCCACGCAGCAGCTATCTTATCATTGAAACACGAAGATGATTGATTTAGATGTCTATATGTCGTGGGATCCACTTACTATCAGGTGGACTGTGTGCTCATTAGTCAAAGAAGAAAGGGATTTTTGGGCCTGAAGTTAACTAATTGGTTTATACTTTAAAAAATTGGCCATATTTTTCTTAAGTAAAATACAAAAAAGTAGCTCTTTTTACAATTTTGATTTTGAAAAACAATAAAATAAGCAATTAGTTAGAAAATCGATTGTAGTGTATTATTTATGGCAAGAAATTGATTACCATAAAGAATACACTGGTGAAATTATCGTGTCTGAACGTTATCTTCCAATAGAGAAATTTTCATTTTGAGACTTGACAGTTAAACTTCAAACTATTTATTTAAAAGAAAAAGACAGATTTTTGATTCGATTTGAAACGAGTGCAATATAATCGATTCTTGATTAAATTGAGCATTTTAATATATAATTTCGATTATTTTTCTGTGTTAACTACAAAATATCGAAATTCTAACAAGTAACAGTTAAAACAACAATTCAAGTAATCGATCTCAGATCGATATCCCTAATATTCACTTCACTTAGTTGTTGTTGCTTTAACTTTCGTTAGTCGTTTCACCATTTCGTTTCATTATTAACCACAAATTTTTTGGTGATTTTATACTGATTCTACTTTTATATCTTTAAGTAATTATATTGGAAAATAACCTGTTACAGTGTAATAACAGTGAAAAATCACCTGTTGCAATGTAGGTAGTAGATAATATCACTTTTACTTATTCTACAATAACTCAGGTCATAGATTGACAAATTTTGCTAGATTTCAGGTATGAATTGTTTATATATAAGCTTTCAAATGATCTTACTTTCATCTTGTTAACACTTGGGCACAAGAGTGTATGGAGATGTCTCCTTCTCCTTTATTTTATAAAATAATTTTAACGGTCAGCCATCGCCTTTTGGCTGATGATGTCTCGTTTAGAGGTGAACTACGTATAGAATTATCGACTGTGGTGTGTCTTTCCTACCTACTACTTTAAAACTAACGGCCAAGGCCTCCCTATTATAGCCCGAGCCTCCTCCTTCGTTAGTTTGGTTTCTCTACCCACAACCTACCTACCTAAAATTAAAGTTTGTCTATAACGTGACTAATGAAAAAGAGTACCCGTGGAATGGCGGTGTAAGAACATCCACTATCTCATATCATCCCGTCGTTGTCGCAAGAGGCAACAGAAGGAAACAAATCAGGAGATATCCAGCAGCGTCTTCTTATTAATGACTAAAAATAAAAGTAAAAACTCCGGCTGCCAACCCCCTTGGCAAGCGTGGCTACTACGGAAAATATCCGAACTATGAGGCAATCTATGGGGGAGGCCTATGTTCAGCAGTGGACTATAATAGGCTGCAACAGTAACGGTATAGAGTACTAAGTATTGAGTGGTCTATGGTACTAAACCTTATCGCAAACCGGCTTGTTTGAGAGGTTTTAGAGGACCCACACCGAAACTCGAAAGATATATTTTTATATGCCTTACCAGTAGAAGTAGCAACGGTAAAGCGACAGCGACGCTGGAACCGAGCGACACGACGCGCCACGATTGAGACATCTCTGCTACTTACTAACGCGGTAATGAGCTAGTTTTACTCCTTCCGCTTTTATATAATTAACGCACAAACAATTATGTATTTATATATCCAAAGTATCCTTCTCTATAGCTAAATGTAACCTATAAATTGTAAAGCAGAGGAGACGACCTTCCATTCGTCACGTTAACAAACTTTTGTTTCAATCGTATCACTTAAATAACCATTCATATCATTTCCAAGAAAATGTCTTTTCTCTACAAAGTCACGCTGACTTTAAAGATACTTGTATTGCTTACTATGATATTATAATTATTAGAATCAGGCATTTCTTCCATTATATTAATTCAATTCATTATATAAAAGAATAAATGAATGAAAATAACCCCTGGGCATGGGGTGATCACTACCATGCTGGTTCAATTATAATTAATATAAAAAGTTTTTATATAATATTATGTCCAAAAAAAAACATAATCCTGCTGATTTTCTTGCTTACCTGGTCCTGGTTCTTCCCAGGACAGCCTGGGAAGAATCAGCGCCAGGTATTTTCCAAACAAGTGGTAAATAAAACAAATTACTTTCAATAATTAACACTAGCAAGGCGACAAGGGTCTAATTATTTTGTCACTGTTTGTTTATACACAATTGTTGTATAAACAAAAGTATTTACATTGTAATATGTTTATACAAATATGAATAAAAATAACATTCACATACAATGACGGCTAGGGTCATTTGACCTATTCAATAGGTGAATGCATTGCTGTTGTGAGTAGGATATATTTACTTTAATTTTTATGCCTGATCTTGTTTCACATACCTAAATATTTTTGTTTATACGTTCATTACTTTATGCGTTCTCATTGAGTCAATTTTATTATTTTGGTTGATATTTCGTGAAAATGTCTCAGCGTATCAGTGATTCAGAAATATTGACATTAGTTCAATTGTTGCCAGAAGATCAATCGGATAGTGAAGGTGAAGGTGTCTCATTACCACCAGAAATAGAAGATAGCGATTCGTATATTCCTGCATCTCCTGAGTCAAGTTCTAGTGATGATTCAGACAGCAACATACCGTTGACTACCATTCAACAACAAACAAGGGGAAAATCGTCTCGTCGACGAAGAGATTTTGTGGAAATACCTCTCAAAATAATATGATATCACCAGGTAGAATATTGTGGAAATCCATATTTGAAAATGGCTCGGAGGTGGCAAGTCGCCGAGGAAGTTATAATGTTGTGACTGAACAGCCAGGACCTACCAGCTATACACGGAGGCAAGTTGAAGAGAAATTCATTACAGCCTGGAAGCTTTTGATAGATGATACAATTTTACGGCACATAAAAAATTGTACTGAGGCTGAAGCAAATCGTCGGCTTGATCATTAATGGTATATTTCTCGAGAAGAACTTGAAAAATTCATTTTTATTTTGTATGTTAAAAGTAGTTTTGTAGCGAGAAATATATCTGTAATGATTTATGAAGTAAAATATGGGGCATTCCATATTTTTCTAAAACTATGCCTAGGGATAGATTCAAAGAAATTAGAAAATAGTTACGATTCTATGTGGATCAGAATGATCTACGAGAATTATAACAGATAAATTTACGTTGATTTCTCAAGTATGGAATCGCTTTATTGACAACAGCATTTCGTGCTACAAACCGGGAGAAAATGTAACAATATATGAACAGTTGTTTGCTACAAAAGTTCGATGCCCTTTATATGGCTAATAAACCTGATAAATTTGAAATAAAACTTTTGCTCTGTGTTGATGTCAAATCGAAATACTTGTTGAATGCTTACCCATATCTTGAGAAAGATGAAACTCGACCGCAAAGTCTTGGACAACACGTCTCATGAATCTTATGGAATAATTTTTGAATAAAGGTAGAAATTAATGTGACTACAGATAGATGACTTTTTCATATAATATGTTTCTCTCACACAGAACTTGCTTTCAACACGTACAATTTTGGTTGGTACAAATAAACGGAGACGTGACATTCCACTGTACGTAACAAATGTAACATTGGATTTATATGACACAAAAGCATTAAAAACAGAAAGTGACCAATGCTTATTGACTGTTAACCAAACATAGAGCAGCAAAAATGTTTTGTTATTGAGTATATTACATGATAGTGTTCATATACACAGTGGAGATGTCAAGAAAAAACCTGAAACTGTTGTTTTACAATTCAACTAAATATAGTGTTGACGAGATCGATCAAATGGCGAGAAGATACAGCACAAAAGTACCTTCTAGAAGATGGCAGGTACAAGTATTTTATAATATTTTAGATTTATCTGCAGTAAATGCGTGGGTGGTTGTACCAAGAAATAAAGAATAAGAAAATACGAAGAAGAGAATTTATTCCGCAATTGGCGTTTGAACTGAAGAAGAATATTTAAGAAGACTTTCACGAGTGGGTACTCGTGAAACCTCACTGCAACGTTCTTTCGCCTCAGAAATGCCAGCAGCTGAGTTGAGGAAGAGGCGTAATTGCTATCAAAGTCATTGTAAAAATAAAACTAATAAAGTGTGTGACTTGTGCAAAAAACCACTATGTGGCAGATGCAATCTATCAAAAATATTCGTATGTGATAACTGTAAATAACTTTTTAATTAAACATATATTTACACTAGAAACCAAAAATATTTCATTTTCCTTTGTAACAATGAATACTTATTGTCTACTATTTCTAGGATTACACATATACATAATTAAAGACTAGGTAACAGCGATAGGGTCAAATAACCCTTGACCGCCTTTGTAGGTTAGCTCTTTTTCTGTCTTGCTAGTGTTAACATGTACGAATCTATCCATATATATATATGGAAAGCCAATACTACTTAAGCGCCATTTTGGCCAAAATGTGTGCTCGTCTTGTATATATGTATATTAAATATATGTATAGTATAGATGTTTAGTATTAAATATAACACATAGAATACTTTATTATATTACAACTTTTATCATTTTTTGATTTAATTTTGTAAATTTGTTAAATTTGTAAAGTTGTTTTACTTTTCTTTTGTTTCAACAATGAAAACATGCATAGTTCTTTTAGTATTACCCGTTCTTTTAGTACAACTCTGGGAGAGGCCGCTGACTCCTAAGATACAGACTCGTCTAGTTTAGGAGTCAGAGACTTCATAAAATTTCTTGTGATTTATTTTTGACAATAAAAGAATTATTATTATTATTATTATAGTTACATACTCGTATATCGTTATATTGGATTTTTTTTCTGCGTCGATTGGTCTATATGTCGTGATGATCTGAGCACTTTTTTGGCGCTTAAGCACTGCAAAAGTATGGTATTTATCATAATTTTCATGTTTTGACAAATACGTACATAATACAAATTATGATTAATTTTTAGTCGGTGTAAAGTAACACTCCGAAAAATTAAATCTAGACGTAAAATCGATAATACCTACGTGTGCCAAATCAGCAAAATTGTATGAGTTACCAAAAACACACAAGCCCAATGCTCCACTACGTCGCATAGTGAGCCAAATCGATTCACCAACTTACAGATTGGCTCAGTACTTAGCGAAAATACTCTCGAGGCTCAAGGGACATACAAGAGCACACACAAAGGATTCCTACCATTTTGTCAGCGAGATTAAAGACCTACATCTGGCAGACAATGAAACCATGGTCAGTTTTGATGTGCAGTCTCGGTTCACATGCTTACCTATTGAAGACTGCATCTCGATTGTTACTAGAAGGCTGAAGGCAAACAACATGCCCGTAGAATAAGCAGTATTACTCAGACACTGCCTTACATCTGGCTACCTATTGTGGAAAGAAGAGTTCTGCAAGCAAGTAGATGGCGTGGTGATGGGCTCACCTGTATCTCCTATTGTCGCCAATATATTCATGGAAGACTTTGGGGAGAACGCCCTGCTTACTTCTTCCGTAAACCCAAGATTCTACAAGCGGTACGTAGAAGACACTTTTACAATTCTACCTTTAGATAAAGTAACTGCATTTTAGACCATCTTAACTCCATAAATTCTAAAATTCAGTTCACAATGGAGTTAGAGGCAAACAGTTCTTTAGCTTTTCTAGATGTGTTAGTGATTCGGAATCCTGATAACACCTTAAGCCACACTGTGTATAGAAAAAATACCCATTCAGATAGATATTTAAACGATGATTCTCATCACCATCGTTCAAATTTAGCTACCGTGGGTAAACACACCTGGCCGCCGAGCTCCAACACGTCTAGCAAGTTTTGCACGACAATACTTATGCTTCGGGTCCCGCGCCTACGTCATAGTGAACGAGTGAAGCCGGCCACAGTAGAGCGAGTGCCTGCTGTACTGCCATATGTCAGAAGTGTCACTTACAAGATTGGCTACATCTTGAAGCGTGCTTCTATTAAAAAATACTTCAAGCCGCCGAAGAAGATTAGTCAGTTTTTACCATTAGTCAAGTGTTATGTCCCTCTGCAAGATGCAGGAGTGTACATGCTTGATTGTCAATGCGGTCTCTCTTATATAGGACCAACTAAAAGATCCATAAAAGCCCGCGGTAAAGAAAACATAGCTGATGTAAAGAATCGACGCTCCGGGAAGTCTGCAGTCTGTGAACACGTACAGGATCGCCCCCGTCACTACATTAGATTTGATAGACCACAAATCCTCGCTAGAGAACACCGATTCCTTCCAAGGATGATTCGCGAGGCTATTGAAATCAAAAAACATCCTAATTTCAATAGAGAAGGGGTGCTACCATCTGCTTGGAATCCCATAATTAATAAAATTAAGCCCAACCCCTTACCCCTTACCCCGTACCCTTCAAGATACTGTAAGTTCATACTGCGTAGATCGGAACAAAAATTAATAATTTTTAATCTGGAGGTAGCCGTGGTTAACTATGACATTGGGACGTCATACACCTCAGTCCCCCCGTGACCATGGGTGCTGTAAAGTGCTCGAAACGTCGGGAATATAAAATAAGTTAATATACGCGATAAAATCCGTAAAATTAGTTTT